CGACACCCATGCTGACATTGGAAACCATGGATTAAGATGACAAAGCCTCCACCATGGAGACCAAGGATCTTCCAAATCTGGCCCAGTGCCTGTTTTTAAAGTAGTTTTATTGAAACGCAGCCATGCCCCTTTGCCTACGTATTATCTATGCTGGTTTTGCCACTTGCAGAGTCAAGTAGTTGCTGGAGACTCTAGGACCCGAAAAGCCTAAAATATATACCAGATGGCTCTTTACAGAAAAAGTTTTCCAACCTTCTGGTAGATCCTAGGGTGACCGTATGGGGGCCAGCCACCTTGTTGACCTGAACAGCACCCCTGTTCTTTTCGTAAGCAAGAAATTAACTTCTGAAATTCTGGAACTCTTGCTACTGTCATTCACACTAATTTTACAATAGTGCTTAGTAAGAGCTAATTTAGGCTGTCCCATGGGACCGGTGGCGATGGCCCGAATGCCAGTAGTTTGTGTCACGCAGGACAACCACTTAACGCCCGTGGGGAGTGAGCGCTCTCCTCCAGACCCACCTTCAGGCCGAAATTTCACACAAGTGCTCTGCTTCAGTCAGTCTTATGACCAGATTGTCCCCAGCCTCCTGCCAAGAGTCCAATGACCTTGTTACAACACAGGCCTTGAGAGGTATGGATACGTGATTTCTGCCTAATGATCTGAGTGTCAAAAGGAAAATGTTCCCTGAAGCTCGTTGAAATGACTGCAGTAACAATGGCCCTTGATCAAGCCAGTGCCTTGTCACCTAACTGGTGGTCGTGATGGTGGACCAGGTTGTCCCTGCCCTCCTATTGCTAACTGACCATCCACAGTTCACATTAACTTATTTTCAGGTATACACTTTTGTAAATCAACTAGAGGTGTTATTACATTTCCATATTCACTTTTTATTTTTACCATCATTTCAATTTTTAAAAATATGACAACGCACTTTCCATTTGCCTTCATTCTTGGCAAGTTATACGGGTCTTGCATTTATGGAAATGACATAAAATTTCCTTTTTACTCTTGAAAGTAAAAAGAATTAACCCGTTTAAGGAAAACTGCTAACAGTAGTACAGATGGTATGCTGATATGGCAAAAAACATGATGTTAGTATGAGAATAACCGAGGTTCGAGAAACACTGCATATGTCCAGGCTGCGTTGGAAAATGTCATAGAATTCTAGGTTCACAGAATTTTGGTCCAGGGAGGACTGTGCATGAGAGATCACCTCATCCATAGCCACCCGCTGCCTCTCACCACCCGCTTTCCAGAAAGGATACCCCAGTGTCACCCCGTGGGTTTCCCAAGCTCTCGTCTCGTAGTGCATTGTTCTCCACCATGAAAGGTTCACCTGATTAATCCCATGATCAAAGCCAAGTGAAGTGGGTCATGGGCTCGCACCTGTCCAGTGCTTGCTCTAGTGCATGCTTTCTGTACACCCGTGGAGTAATTCGATGGAGACAGAGAGGTGGGGTGAGGTAGTTAGTAGCCCTCAGAGGTGTCTTCTCTCGTAAGACCTGCCCAGCCACTTAGAAGTTAAGGCCGATTCCCAAGATTTTACTCTCCAGATCATCTCTTTCCACATGGGGCACCTTAGGGAGTTTCTCAAAGGCAGAACCAGATTCCCAAACAACTGCCACTGAAACAAGAAATTCTATATTCTTTACAGCTATTGTGAAATAGGGGATTGGGAGAAAAATTAATGCCCATGTTTTCTATGTTTTGCTGATCCCCAGCACCTTATAATCTTCATGGGCCAACAGCCAGGGCTGTGTTTCCAGGTTGCAAAGGCCAGTGTGAGAATGTGTGTGTGTGTGTGTGTGTGTGTGTTTGTTGTGCTAAATGATAAGAATCAGCTTCTTTGTCTGCTTAAAAGGCAACCTGAATTGTTGCATGTGGATTGAGATGGGGGTGTTCTTATTAGGGTGACCCATGTTTCTCTCCTGGATAAAAGTAAGGGAGGAATCTCAGCCCGGGTCAGTCTTTGTAGAAGCAGTCACCTCTGGGGACTATCACGAAGTCCACACCACAGGGCTGGGATTTGCTCTGAACGGTTTCAAGTTTGTTTTGAGTCCCCCGCCCCCACTTGCAAAGCCTCCCCTGTCTAAAGGCGTGAACTATGCCTGCCATGGGTCACTCACTGTGTACTAAGAGGAAAGTCCCAAAGGGAGAAACCTTTATGTAACAAGTTGTTTGCCATTCTTTGACTAACTGAAATCTGAGCCCTGTCCAAGCTCTTGAGATGGAAGAGGATCAACTCTGGGTGGGCGTGGCCTAGAGGTACTTACTGAGAGACATTTGGAAGGGAGAGAGCTTTTCTGTTGCCTCCTGATTGGTCTATAAGGCGGTGGAGGCGAGAGCTGGGGTAGAAAGAGCTGAAAGGCAGGACACGCACAGCCCCTCAGAGACCCACAGGCATCAGTGCTGCTGTCTTTCACAATGTGCCTCTTGGCTGTAGTCCTGGTCTACCTGCATGCTTCCACGGCTTGGGGTGAGTCATTCTGAAGTAGAAATAGCTGGGGGCACATTTGCAAACCCTTGTCCAGGGTCCAGGTAGGGGAGACGGGTATAGGGCAAAGCTGTGACAGATGCAGTTCCACAGAAACTGGTACCCTCTTGGCTGCACACGCTACATGTTGGGGGTGGGGGTGGAGGAGGGACCATCTGCTAACTTCATGCCTCGCAAATGAGGACTTTGAAGAGTTCAGATTTTTTTCTCCTTGATTATTAGTCCAGATATGGCCAGATCGTTGAGAGTGGTTTAGCAGAATATTAATATCAGACTCTGAAGCCAGAGATCCTATGTTCCAATCCCACACAGCTCAGCACTTACTAGCTGTGTGTCCTTAGGCAAGGCACTGCATGCTTCTGTGCCTTGGTTTCCCCAGAAGCCAGGCAAAAAGAGTGGCACATTCCAACTCCACATCGATCAAGGTGGTTGTTTATAAGCCTCAGATAAATGGACGATGAGTGGCAGTGGTACTAAAATGGGGGTGACAACAGTACCTTCCTCGTGAGGTCGTTTTAAGAATAAAATGGGTTTGTTTTTTGTTTTTGTTTTTTCCTAAAGAGCATAGTGCCTGAGATGGAGATGGTGCGACAAAAGGCTCCACAAATAAAGGGGTTGTTTAAAAGCGTTGTGTATTAACAGAAATTATGAGGGAACTGCCACTGACAACGTAGTTTGTTACTCCCAGTTCCCAAGAGGAAGGGGCCACGTCGCCATTGTGGGCCGCACAGTGAAGCACGGGGGCGGGGGACTCAGAGGGAGGAGGGAGCAATTGTCGGGGAAAGCCTTTCGTGGCTGTGGGCCAGGAAGAGGTGAGACTAGGCAAACAGGTTTAAGATATGTAAACTAGCCAATTTCAAGGGCCGTTGTCAGGGAACTGGCACTGGGGTGACTGAGGAAAGATGGCAGTGGACCGGCATGTGAGAGCCTGGGAAAGAAGGTGGCAGAGGGTGAGGGCAAGTCGATGCCATTGTAGGAACTGGCCAGGTCTGGGAGGGGCAGAACCTCCAGGGTCAGCAGGGCTCCAATGTCTGCCCGTGCATAAGAGCGCAGAAAATAAAGACGCAATGGATACAAGGGTGCAGCAAGGGACCTCAGAATGCGTCTGCGTCGTTTTATAGATGGAGAAATTGAGGCTCCGAGAGGGAAATGTACTTGCCCGAGGTCAACTGGAAAAGCGTGCTCTGGAGTCACTCTCTGGCTCCAGAATCCACAACCAGTGCCATGGCCGTCGGTGCCCTGACAGCCCCAGTCCCACCTGTATTTTATCTTCTTTCTGGTGCTGTGCGCTCTGAGGGGCCTGGAACCAGGGAGGAGGGCAGAGTGAGAAAAGGAATCAAATCCGAGCATTCCCTGCCCGCCGGTCACCCCGGGCAAGGCCATCCCCTGTCCATCTTCAGCAGGTCTATCCTGGCTGCCTCCATCAGGCATATCAGTGCCTACCAAGCAAGGCTTTTGTGAAGGCTACTGAGCTGGACTGCACGTCTGATCCCTAGGAAGTGCTCAGTATATGAATATTACATATAACATAAGCGCAACTGCTGCTGTTACCACGGCTACTTTGGACTATCGACCCAACCACCCACTTTTTTACCACTACCAATTGTGCCGTGCCCCTTATCTCTGTCAAAGGTTATCGCTGAGTTGATAGAAGCCAGGCCTTTAACAAGCCTGGTTTCTTCTCAGACTTTACCCTCCTCCCCCTCTCTGAAGCACTCAGCAGTCCTGGCACACTTCCTCCCCAGGCCTCCATGATGCTCACCGCGCTCCACCACACGATGCTCCCCCACCCTGCTCTGACAGTTGGTTCTTAGTCTCGGCTGCAGGTTTCCCTGAGGTTTCTCTGCAGCTCTGGCTCTTCTCCCTCACACTGGCCCCCTCGATGACATCCCAGGTAGCCACGGTTTGTACTTTCACCTTCGGGTAGATGATTCCACCCCGCCCCCTCACCTGGCCTCCTCCAGTCTTGAGGAACCCACTCCCTCGGTGTCTTCTTACCCAGATATCTCCCCGACATTTCCACGGCACCTGTCGAAAACGGAGCAGCATCCCAAGTCAGCTCTGTGTCTTCGCCTTTCCCTCCCTTGTCCCCCACATCTGATCGGGGACCAAGCCCTTCAAAATTCTTTATAGACATCACTGTATTCACACACACACACACGCGCACACACACATCCTTCAAATTATAAAAAGGAATCTGTTCCATGCGGGAAACTTGGAAAGCGCAAAAACAAAAAGTCACCTGCAATCGCACCACCCCTTGACCTCTCGAAAGACGTGCTTCCAAAGTCCATCTCAATGTTAATGTTAATGAACAGCAACGATGACAAAGGAAAACAGCCTAAACGGCCACGGAATGGGATTGGCCACTAATGACGGAAGACACAGATACTGTTTTGTAACCTGCTTGTGCACGTGGTATCACCAGTGTCGCTGCGGGAGTCTTTTGTAAGACTCAGTCGAGATGGTTCTTTTTAATTCTGGCCACACGCTTTGAGGGAGATGTTGACCTTTTATCTGTATCCAAAGGGGAACAATTGGGAGGATGAGAGGCTAGAAGTCGTTTCCGAAGGGGAGTGCTTAAACCACCGAGGCTACCGGACAAGGGGGCCTGAGAATGACGGGCACGACCAGGTGCCTGCGGTCCAGGGTGGTCCGTGGCAGGGGGAACCAGGCCTGGTGCGGGAGCTGCAAGGAGGTGAATTTCAACTCACTGAGGGGCACCTGTCTGCTCCACCAGAACGGGGCAGATAGGAATCCGACTCCAGTCCCTCTTCCCTCTCAAGGACCCTGCTCAGAGCCATCGTGCCACGCTCCTATGCTCCAGAACTGTTCACTGCTGCTTGTTTACTCACTAAATAAAGCCCAAACCCCTCGCCTGCCATGCGCGGCCCTGGCAGCCCTGAGCCCCTCTCATTCCGGGATTCTTTTCCACTCCCCATAGATGCCTCTGGCCCCAGGAGGCCATTCACTCTTCCTACGGCAGGCCCTGCATTTTGGTGTCTCAGAGCCTCACCTCGGCACATTCCCTTCTCTGCTTTGTACCTTTATACCGCCCCCCATTCCAGCTCTCCTGTCCAGTCCTCCCCTATTGCAAGTCACAGCACCAAGGTTGCTGCCTCTGTGATGCTACCAGTCGGAAGGCCTTGCTCCCTGCCCTCCCTCCTGTGACACCTTAATAGTTCCTGTCTCGGGACCCTGACCACTTTTGCCCCGGCAGTAGGGTCAGGTACGTATGTGGCTCATTGTTCCTCCATGGCTCAGACCCCTGAGAAGAGGGGCTGCTTCTTGTTCATTCTTTCGTCCAGTGTGCAGCTCGGTGCCAGGAGCCCAATGGACCATTGTTTCTAGAAGCTTCTAAGAGTAGAAAACAAATGTCTTGTTTACTCCAAGCAGCTGTCCTGCTTGCATTTATTTTTTGCTGGATGCTGTTATACCTCCAACTCCAACAAGCTCCTTAGGAGAACTCTACGAGTTAGGAAGGATAGCTCACCTCATCTCTCTTTTACAGTAGTAGAAACTGAGGCCTGTGAGTTGAGGCGACTCATTCAAGGTCCCATGCCAAGAGTGGCAAGACTCGCCTGGAATCCAGTTCAAACCTTTCACGGCTGATTTGTCTTCCTTTTCTCTCCATGTCCACAGGGCACCTACGCTCACCACCTGTCGTGGACACCGTGCAGGGCAAAGTCCTGGGGAAGTATGTCAGCTTAGAAGGATTTGCACAGCCCTTGGCTGTTTTCCTGGGAGTCCCTTTTGCCAAGCCTCCCCTTGGGTCCCTGAGGTTTGCTCCTCCTCAGCCTGCGGAGCCGTGGAACCTGGTGAAGAACACCACCTCTTACCCTCCTGTGTAAGCCGGGAGGGGTTCTGGGGGCTTAGCGGGGCGCTTTCTCAGTTCCCAGGTGTGTCTAGCTACCTAGTCACAGCAGAGCGACGGCTGGTGTGTCCCATTCATCCTCCTGTTCTCTTCCCTTCCTTTCTCCCTCCCTCCATCCCTCTCTCTCTCCTTCCCCTTTCCTTCCTTCCTTTTCAAAATAACATTCACTGTTTTTATTTCCTGATTGCAAATGTAATACATACTTATTACAGAGAAGTTAGGTAAGTAAAGGTAAGAAAAGAACAATCATATGAATCCACAACCTAGAGAGAAGTGCTGTTCATATCTTAAATTCTGTTTTCCCCGTCTGTTATCTGTTGCATATTTTCTCCCTTAAAAATAGAATCACATCGTATAGAGAGTTTGGGTGCCTGCTTCGCCCGTTTGTAAGTAGCATATCATGAACAACATTCTGTGTCATTAAATAGCACAGACTGGCATTTAATAGCTGTCTGATGTTGAATATTGAACCTTACAGTCTTTTATTTGGCATCATGATGTTTTCGATAATATAAATGGCACTGCAATGAGGATCCTGTAGCTAAATATTTACACACATCTATGAATACATTTTGATAAGTGCCAATAATGACATTTCTAAGCCAAAGAGTATGAACTTTTAGCTAAATGTCCCTCTAGAAATGTTCCAACGACACACTTTCCATTAATATATGAAAACCTCCATTCGTTGAATCTATGGCAAAGCTTAGGGGTACTAAAAAATGTTTTTTGGCTGTTGGCGAGGCAGAGTAATTATTGACATTATCGATATCTTAAATGATTAATCATTCAGATATTTTAATTACTATTATCAATGCGATTAATAGTAATAATTGGTTTTATATAATTTTACTATTCTGCACTTGAATACTAGTGACGTCGAACTTTGTTTCCCTTTTTTGACATTTGAATTTCTTCTTTTTATGAATATTATGCCTCTTGCTCCTGGCGGTCTGGGGGAAGTTGCCCAGGATGGAAATTAGGGCAGCGTCGTGGGCTCTGGCTCCCCCACTCGGCCGCTGTGTCACCCACGTCATGCCTCAGTTACCTTGCCTACGAGCCGGGGCGGGGAGGCCCCGCTCCTGGGAACATGGAGACGCAGAGATGTTGCTTACAATGTCCTTTGAAATATAAACACTGCGTAGTATGTGTCTCACTGGCTGTGTGAGCCTGGGCAGGTTCTCGAATCCCTCCGTGTCCCTGTTTTCTCGTCTCTAAAGTAGGCTTGATGCTAGAATCTGTGTCATGGGGCTGATTTGCGAGATAAATGAGTCAGCACATAAGGAGTCCCTAAAACAATGGTCAGCATGCTGGGAGGACTCAGGAAAGGCTGCCAATTATAATCTATGCTGGATCCTTAAGGTCTGTGACTAGGCTTGGGAGCGCTAATGATGGAATCTTAGCGTCAGGGCCGGAAGACCCATATGGAGACCACTCCCCTCGTTTAGACTCATTCAGATCCAGGCCCAGAGCAGGGAAAGATTTCACCTCCGGTCACCCAACCAGTCAGTGGCCGAGGCGGTCCTGATGTTGCTTCACCCCTGACCTGTTGCAGGCCCCAGACGTCTGCCATCTGAGTGACTTCTCATGGTTTATGGAAGTCTCCCATGGACTAGGCCACCTGATTTACCTGGCGGAGGAACATGGTGGCCCTGTACCCAGCACGGGAGCCCAGCAGAGAGCTGGGCTGCCTCCAGGGCATGCAGGAACTGCCGTCTCCCAGGTGGGGTGGTGGATAGATGGCCTCATCTCAGTGACCAGGTGCATCAGGATGGGGAGGCGTGCCAGGCCTTCTCACTACGTGGTGCTGGGGGGTCTTAGCGAGCCCCATCCCCCAGCCCCCAGGTAGCCTCCTACCCTCTCCAGGGTCTTCAGTCAGTCTGGTAAGAGCAGCTTGGTGCAGGCCTGGAGCCGCCCCCCGACCAAGGCCCAGCCTGACCTTGGCAGACGGCTCCGGGCTTGGCTCATGAAGCTCAGGACTGCCTTCTCCCCACCCCTCCCAGGTGCTCTCAAGACATAAAGTTGATTCAAATGTTCTCCAAGTTATTTCTCAACGAAAAGGAGACGTTGCCTCTCAAGAGTTCTGAAGACTGCCTTTACCTAAATATTTACACGCCCGCTGACCTGAGCAAGAAAAGCAGGCTGCCGGTAAGTGGAATGTGGAAAGCAGCAGGGCCACGGAACCTTCTGGTACAGACTGGAAGGGGAAGGAGGCAGCTTGGGGCAGGGCCATCACAGCCACCGAGGGCTGTTTTGGGGGCCCCGGGCTTCCCTTACCCACCACGTGACCAGGCCACACGACCACAGGAAATAGTTTCTATACCTCAGTTTCCCCAGTGACAGACAGAGGGCCTCTGGGGGACTTTGCTGTACACTTGTAACCCACAGTCAATTTTTCTAAGTTCTCTCATGCTAGTAGAAGGACAAGAATGATTACTCCTAATTGCTAAATTACTCCTGGTTGCTAAGACACAATTACCTCTAAAGATGGACATGGAAGGAATCTTAGAGAGAAGCCAACAACCCAGCACTTTCTTTACAGATAGAGAAACTGAGGCCCAGAGAGGGGGAGGAGAGGTCATCCAGGAGGGCTGGCAGGACCAGAGCAAGAGTCTCTTGATCTTCAGACCCGCGCTCTGTGGCACAGACAGGGACAGGGAGCATGTGTGTGGCCTTTCTCGACACACACAGATGGGGCTCTGACAACTTTCCGCGTCCCCTGGTGACTGAGGTGTGAAAGCAGCACCTGGAGTAATCCGAGAATCACTTTCCTTTGCCTTCAACCAAATACCTGGGACTTTCTCATAGCTAATTGCACTCCGTAATTGTCTTTGGCTAGGTTGCTGGCCCAGTAAGTTAGCATTTGCACAATAAATGAAAGCCCAGAGATGGGGCAGGCTTCCAGACTTGGGCTGGAGGGTGAGGCGGGCCTCCTGGACGCAGTTTCCAGAGTGGAGAGGGAGGGGTGCGGGCAGGGGTGAGAGAGAGTGTCCGTGAACCTGGGCCTAGAAGTAGCATTGCACAAACTTGCCTCAAAGAGGTGGGTCAAAGATTCGCTCACTTATCCGTTCGTTCTTCGATTATATGCTCAGGGCCCTTATATCCATAGCTAGGATTGGGGTTAGGAGAAAGGAATAACGCACAACCATTACCATGGAGCCCCTGCCTTCAAGCATCTTAGCATCTGGGCTGCACAGACAGACCAGCTTCTTCAGCAAATCACTGCTCACCAGCTTTGGTTCTGACTTCCCTCGCAGGTGACAGAACTCTGTCCCTCTGCCCCGAGATAGGCAGGGATCAGAGGTGCAGGAAGAACAGGGGCTCTGGGAACCAAGAGGTGGGAGAACATCTGCTTATGGACACAGGCTCTGGAGTTGCAGAGTCTGGGTTCAAATCCTGGTTCTGCCTTCTACTAGCTGAGAGACTGGCTGCTTCCTCAAAACGGGAACAGTGACGTGAGTATTCACTGATGAATATCTCGGTGCCTGGTGCAGTACACAAGGCAGGCCCTCCCGACACCTTAGTTATTGTTGAGAGAAGGTCGGACTCTTAACCTGATGGCTGACCTACCGCGCTGTGGCCATTGGCTGCAGCGTCCTGGGTGTCTCAACACAGAGACTCTGGAGCCAGGCGCATGGGTTCAAGTCCTGCTTCCACCACTTATTACATAACTTGGCATCTGAGGTGCCTCAGTTTTCCTGCCTGTTAAATGGCACGATAGTAATTTCTACCTCATGGTTGGTTTACTTTCTGGTGCTTAGAACCCTGCTTGGCCCATGGGTTGTGTTCAGAGTTCTTTTATTTCTTCATTAACGAAATAATTACGATATTATTATTTCAACCACTTATTTCCCCGCAAAGTGAGGTCTTTAAATGCAAGAACCATTTATTATGAATCGTGTCCATACTCGTCCTCGAGTCTTATTTGTAGAATTCTAAAGGTTATAAGATCATGTTCGTCAAATGATTGAACACTTCTTGGAAGAGGTAGCTTGTAGGCTGGGCTTCGAAGGGTGGATGAGATTTAGAGATGCAGAGGTGGGAGAGGGAAGAAATATTAGGAAAAGATGCCACATGTACGCTTGTTGAGATAATCATTCACACACACATGAGAAAAGTCTAACTCACTACACAAGAGGTAACTAAGGCGAAGCTGAAATTCAAGGGCTGCCGCAGGCAGAGTGTGCCGAGCTGGGTGAGGGGTCCAGATATGAGATGTTAGGAGTGCCGAGGAGTGGATGACACCCTTAGCCGTGGCTGTTCCCATGATGGTGTTCTCAGCATGATGAGCTTTGGGAGGAGGTGACCCTGGGGCTGGGGAGACAGGTAGGAGCAGCCAGGTACATTGAATGGGGTGGTGACCTGGCCCTAGCTGGAAGAATGAGGAAGGAGAGTGACTGCCTGCTCCAACTTTGCTGGGGACTCACGGACTTTGAAGAATGGCCTTCCTGAGTCATGGTCAAGAGGTAGGTGACTAAGACAAACGATGTCCTGAGATCTTTCTGAGCTCTGCTTCCTATAACCAGGACGATCACTTCTTCCCTGGCCAGGTGATGGTGTGGATCCACGGAGGTGGTCTGATGCAGGGCGCGGCATCAACCTATGATGGACTGGTCCTCGCTGCCTATGAAAACGTGGTAGTAGTGACCATTCAGTACCGCCTGGGCATCTGGGGATTCTTCAGGTGAGATGCTGGACTCACTGTGCATTGGCTCCCAGAGCGAGGGTGCTAGGACCCAGCTTTGGTCATGTCAGTCCTCAGGGGATCTCGGTTAGTTCCTCAGGAAGGCACCCGAATCCTTTCATCGCTGAGCTCCACGTACCATCTCATTTCCTCTGCTCCTCATCGCGGCGCTGTTTCCTCTTCCTGTAACGCCTGTTCTACCTGGCAAACCCCTCTTCACCCTGTAAAGCCTGACACAAATGTCCCCTCTTCTGAAATACTCATTTCCTTTTTACCTGTAATGCCTGAGCACCTTACGCACCCCCGAAATGACACCTAGCAAAACGATACTTACAGCAGCAGTTTATACGTCTCATCTCCTGTGGGAAAGTAAAGCAGGGGCAGACTCAGGGCGGAAGCGTGATGGCTGCTTCTGGGTGATGGGAGCTGGGAGGTTGTCAGAGCATCCGACCCCACAGACAACCATCCCCGGAGGAATATGAGATCACTCGCCCTATTTCCTTCTGCATTGGGCACATGCATGAGTCAAGGCTAGAGTCTCCTCCATCGAGTCTGCATGAAGACAGGAACCAGGTGTTCTTAGGACAGAGTTTCTGGCAGGTTTCCTAATTGCACTGGCCCCAGGACCTCTGACCCAGAGAGGGCCGAGGGGCAGGCTTGGGGAGGGGTGGGCTTCTCACCCGGAAGACCTGTAGGGGTGGAGGAGGGTTATCCCAGGTGAGTCCTGTCCCAGGATATATCAGCTTCATTGAGACTCCTCACCTCTTTAGCCCCCTGCCCGTTTCTCCGCTCCTCATTGCGATGAAGCTGCTCTGCTGACACCACCTTCCTCAACTCCCAGCTTCTCCTTTCCCCATGCCAGGCGGGTCTCTACTCTGATCACACCACCGATGGCTCTGGTTGAGGTCACTGGTGACCCTCCAGCTCTTGGTCCAACCTTGGCAGCCCCACACATGATCGCTCACACTTCTTTGAAATTCTTCCTTCTCTTGGCTCCTGGCCACTTCTTGCCTCGGACACTGCTCCCTCTTGGCCTTTTCAAAGGCCCCTCCTCCTCCCTGTCTTCAGGCTTCTGTGTGTATCTCCACTGGTTCCCCGAGTGATCTCGGGGGGCCACTTTCACAGCTCCCTAATTTTAGCCTTGACCTCTCCTTCTAAACCTAGAGACACATTACTAATGACCTACTGCTGTCTTTACGGGGTGTCACTTTACAGGGACGAACTTAACTCTCGACTCCCAGTGCCCCTCCCCTGGAAATACTCCTTTCTCCTAATGCCTCCTGCTCAACTGCTGGCAGCTCCGTCTTCTCGTTGCTCAACGTAAAAGCCCTGCAGTCAGTCTAGACCCTTCCCTTTGTCTCCCACCCCACCCATTATGCATCAGCAAATCTTCTGGACTCCACCTTTAAAACATATTCAGAATCCAACCACTTCTTGCCTCCTCTCTTCTATCCACCCTAATCAAAGCTCTCTGTGTTACTCACCTGGATTATGGTAATAATCACTTACTTTAATAACCCTTTTATACCATGTTCCATGCAATAGCTAGAGTGATCATTTGAGACAAACAGAACCATTTCTTCCCCGGCAGTGGCTTCTCACATTACTTACAATGACAGCGAAGGCTTTACCGAAGCCCACAGGACCCTCTTTAGTTGCTTGTCCTGTACTCACACTTTTTGATCACCAGGCCCCAGGGCCTTTGCACTTGCTGTTTCTGCTGCCTAGAATTCCCTAATTTGGATATTTACAGGGCTCATGAGTTCACTCATTCAAGTCTCTATTCAAGTACTGCTGCCTCAAAGAGGCCTTCCCAGGACAGCTGATCTGAAACGGCCCCACTGCCCCATCTCTGCCTTTTCTCTTACTGTTTTCTTTTTCCTGAAAGCATTTTCACTATCTGGCATTAAATTCTATATTTATCTGTTTATTTATTCATGATCTGTAGTGTAAGCTCGGTGTAGTTAGAGATTTTGCCTATTTTGTTTTCAGATGTGTTTCTGCCTCTTAGAACAATGTTTGGTACGTAGTGTTTGGCTCAATAAGTAGATGCCAGATTAAGGAATCTAAAGCCCTAAACCAAACAATGTTTCAGGAATGGAAGGCAGGTGACAAACCCTGAGTCAGGGCTATGAAAGCTATGACTTATTCCAGGAGGCTCACCTAGAGCCCGCAGCCCAATCTGTGGTCCTGAGAACCCTGCCATGATGTCTCTGCTCCCATCCCCACCCTGTTCTCTTACAGCACGGGGGATGAACACAGCCCGGGGAACTGGGGTCACTTGGACCAGTTGGCTGCCCTGCACTGGGTCCAGGAGAACATTGCCAACTTTGGAGGGAACCCTGGCTCTGTGACCATCTTTGGAGAGTCAGCAGGAGGCGAAAGTGTATCTGTTCTTGTAAGTGTTCCAAGCCCTAACGTGGCTGTTGTTGGGACCCGTTGGAGACCAGCTGATCTAATCATGGGCATCTTTATTAACAAGACCTGGATTCAAGGCTGATCTTACTCTGCACGGAATCAGATAGTGGAGGGTTCATAGCCAAATTCTCCTTGGCCCCCAGGAAGCTCAGCATCCTAGGGCCACAGTAATCTCCAGCCACAGCCTGCAACACTCCTCCTCTTCTAAATTAGTCAAGCTCTCTCTCTCTCTTTCTCTCTCCTTCCCAATCATTTTTATATTAGGACTCACCTCACTTCTCTTGGGAAGCAGGGGTGGGTATAAATTATGAATAAGAGGAGGCACTTATGAGAGGTGGGCAGTGTCATTGTTTGGCTTAAAGCCAGATCTACATGTCAGGAGGACATGAGCACTAAGAACGGGTCAGGGGCTCTTCTGAGGTGGGCTGGTGGTTTGTCCACTCCCAAGAGGGAGGACAGTAGTCTCTGGGAATGAAGGGTGGAGCTGGGCTGGAGAAAGTGGGTGAGAGAGAAGAGAGGAATTGGAAGGTAGGATGGGGTAGGGATGGGGCAGGGGATGCGGACACAGACACAACCTGGAAAACCAAATTAGAAGGTGCTAGGAGTTGTAAGAAACCCTCAAGCTGCATCACAGTTGAGCAGAAGGTCAGCACTATTACTGTACTTTTTAAAAATACGTATTTTTTCCATTATAGCTGACATACAATATTAGTTTCAAGTACAACACAGTGATTTGACATTTATATAATTTACGAAGTGATCACCTTGATAAATCCAGTACCCATCTGATACCATACATAGTTATTACAATACTACTGACTATATTCCCCATGCTATGCTCTACATCCCCATAAGTATTTTGTATCCACCAATCTCTATTTCTTAACCTCCTGCCACACTTCACCCATCCCCCTAACCTCCCCATCCAGCAACCATCAAAAGGCTCTCTGCATCTGTAAGGTTGTTTCTGTTTTATTTGTTCATTTACTCAGTTCTCTAGAGTCCACATATAAGTGAAACCATATGACACTTGTCTTTCTCTGTCTGACTTACTCCACTCAGCACAACACCCTCTAGGTCCAACCATATTGTTGCAAAAGGCAAGATTTCATTTTTTTCTATGGCTGAGTAATATGCCATTATATATATGTATGTATATCTATATATCAGCTCTTCTTCATCCATTCATCCACTGATGGACATCCAGGTTGCCTCCATATCTTGGCTGTTGTAAACAATGCTGCATCGAATATTTATGGATGCACATGTTGCTTCAAAGTAGTGTTTTGGGTTTCTTCAGCTAAATACCCAGAGGTGGGATTACAGGGTCCTACTTGGTCTCTTGTTATAGCCTTTGCTTTAAAGTCTATTTTGGCTGGTATAAGTATTGCTACACCATTTTTTTGTTTGTTTGTTTCCATTTTCATGAAATACCTTTTTCCATCTCTTTACTTTCAGTCCACGTGTCTTTCAATCTAAAGTGAGTCTTTGTAGGCAGCATATGTAAATGTTTTGTTTTCTTATCCATTTAGCCACCCTATGTCTCTTCCTTGCTCCTCAGTAGGAATCTACACAGCCAAGATATTCCTCCCAATTTTTAACTGCCACAGGCAGGTGTGGGACCAGCCCTGTTCATGTTTCTGCCCCTCCTACCAGTCTCGGAGTGGCTTCCTCTGTATGTCCTTAGTTATAAGATTTCTGTTCAGCTAGTCTTCAGGCAATTCTCAGTGATGGTTGTTCTGTAGTTTAGTTGTAATTTTGATGTGGTCATGAGAGGAGGCAAGCACTGCACTTACCTACTCCACCATCTTGACTGGAACAATTATTGTATTTTTAAAACATACTACATGTTTGCTTTAATAGTTTAATACTCAGAGGAAAATTTTTATAGTTTGCAAAGTGGAGAAAAAGGTAAAGTACCAATAAATTCAAAAATGAAAGGTCATCCGTAATTCCATTACTCTCCATATTCACTGTGGGCATTTTGATATGTATTTTTCTAGTCTTTTTCCATGACTTACTCACTCATTCACTCTATCTGTCTGTCTGTCTGTCTGTCTGTCTATCTATCTATCTATCTATCTATCTATCTATCTATCTATCTATCATTACCTGTCACCTCTCTCTCTCCATTTAGGATTTTTTTAAACAAAAACTGTATTAACATCACAATACAACATAAATATTTCCCTAACTCTTAAGTACTCTTCCATAATTTTATTTTTTATAGTTGCATAATATTCCATGGTAAGAATGAAACGTAGCTTATTTATTCCATCTCATTATATTGGAACCTTGGGTAATGGCCAATCTTTTTCATTATAAACAGCATGAGCACTCTTAGAAAGTGTTGTGTGCTTCCATGATTGTTTTTCTTAGGATAAATTCTGAGTAAAAGAAATGCATAATCAGAACTGTGTCTTTAAAGGGTTGCTAGGAATTGCTCAGCTGCTTTTCTGGTACTTTTGATTGTTATAATCAGTGCTCTCTGCATAGTTCCTGTTCTGTCACTCACTCTGTGACCCTGGCTTCCTCCAGCTGAGGTCTTCTCCGAAAAACTGGGCCTCGGGCTCAGCCTGGGGAACAGGCCAGGCCAGGTGAGGACCTGGTATGTCCACTGAGCCCAGAGTCTCTAGGAGAACAGGCTAGGGCAGAGCTGTGGGTGGGGGTTGCTCTTGAAGACTCCCTCCCCATGAGCATAAACTCTATTCCTCTCTACTCCTGTCTCAGGTGATATCTCCCCTAGCCAAGAATCTCTTCCACCGGGCCATCTCTGAGAGTGGTGTGGTCCTCACTGCTGCTCTGAGCAAGAAGGACATGAAGACCTTAGCTCAGGTAGGTCGCACAGTGACAGCCCCCACATGCTTTGCTCTACTCTCCTGGAGTCTTCAGGGGTCTTCCTTGCCGTGGTGTCTAGCTGACATGCTCAGAAAGTCACAGGAGAATAGCTGAGTGAAAGAGCAAGGAGACACCTCACCCACTCTCCCAGTTTTACTGCTGAGCAAACTGGGCCAGAAAGCAGAAGCAGCTTGCCAAGGTCAGTGAGTGACCAGGGCAGAGCTGGGGCTCAAGCTCACGACTCTGGACTGCCAGAACAGTGCACTATCCATTGACCATACTTTGCAAATTGTGCCAAGATGAGGTGCTGGGCCGGACAGTGGGGAGTGGACTGCCATTGAGTCTTATCTCTCTGCGAGTCTGAGTTCTGGTGAACTTGCAGCACGTGGGCTTGAAGTGGTTCCTCCCTGGGGGCTTTGCAACTGCAATGGAGTCCTGGAGAATTTCTTCATTGAGTCATTCATTCACTCAACAAATAATCTTGATATAACCAGACATCTAACAACCTTGCAAAGCTTCCATTCTATGGAGGAGATAGATGAATGATTATATAAGCACACAATTATAAAATGTCAACTTTTGTCACAACGGAGTCCAAAAGGAGCACTTAGTCCAGGGTGGAGGGGGAGATTATCAGGAAAGGCTTCCCAAAGAAAGTGATCAATAAGTTGAGAAAAGAATGATGAGCCATCATTTGTTTGGTGAGAAAAGAACATTCCAGGAAGAGGGAACAGCACGCACACTGTCCCATGGCAGGAGGAAGTATCTCAAGTGAGAGTGAATGACGACTCCGATGTGGCTAGAGCGGAACGTGCAGGGGGACCCGGAGTGAGCTGAAGGTGGGGACACTGGCAGAGGCCATGCTGCATAGGACCCTGGCGAGGGCTTTGTCTTTCTCTGGAGACTGGTAGGAAGCCAATGAAGGGAGAGCAACAGGGAGGCTCTGCTGAGGAATGCCCCTGGAATGGGGGGTGTGATGCTGCGGGAGCGCATTCGTGGAGAGGCGCAGGGAGCAGCCAGACTTTAAGGGCCTGCTAAGGAGGAGGAGAGGAGATGAAGACATGGAGAATTTTGAGAATGTTTTTCAGAGCTCTTCGGTTGTGAACAACAGGAGCCCTCTTGACTGGGCTCCCATCAGGAAAGAGGAATTTATTTAAAGGAAACTGGTGGCAGAGATGGGGCTGGATTTCACTATTGAACAGAAACTAGAAATTGGCAAAATGAAGGGAATGTAAGACTTTTATTCTTGCTCTTGTGCGCTGTCCCCCACACCCGTCACCACCATCATTTTCTCTCAGTCCGTGCCGAGCTAGATTCTGCGTCAGACACTCTACTCGGCTTTGAGAGCCCTTGCACGCTCTCCAGGTGGCACGGTGCCCCTCTCCATTTCACCTTCCCCTCTGGCTGCGCTTTGCAATACTTGCCCAAGGCCAAATGCTAGTAAGTGCAGAGTTGAGGTTTGAAACCAAGCAGAGTGCATCTGGGTTCCATGCTCTTAAGCCTTCTTCATACTGCCCCTCTTTAGACATTAGGCTTGGAGATCACTTTGCCCATTTTAATAGAGGTGACGGAGATAGAGGTTATATAATTAGTGTGACTGAGACCCAAGAGCCACACTCGCTGACCTAGAGAATTTTCCTCTGCCCTCTACTGCCTTTGGACATTGAGGTTGAGATAGAACACCCACTTTTGATTGAGGAAAGGGACGTGGCTTTTTAATTCTACTGTTGCCTATGATCTCTGCAGCAAATTGCTATCACTGCTGGGTGTAAAACCACCACTTCGGCTGTCATAGTGCAGTGCCTGCGCCAGAAGTCAGAGGAAGAGCTCATGGATATAACGCTGAAGATGGTAGGTACCGCCATTCTCGTGGCTACACGAGCCCCTCGCCCTGTAAACTTGGCCCCAGGCATCATTTAAGCTGACCCTTTACCTTCAAAAAACTACTTGGGGGCAGTATCTCGCCTCCCTGAAGCAATATCACCCCTGGATCTAAATGGAGAATTTCTTTCTTTCTTTTTATTATGAAATATCTCAAATGATAGTAAAGTCAAAAACTAACATAATGAACATTAGTATAATAATCCCCCAGCTCTGTCTAAACACTATTTTGTCATTTTGTTTTCAGACATATTTTTAAGAAATTAAACATTATTCCCAGAGGTAACCGCCATGCTGAATTTGGGGAATGGAGATATTAAAAAAAAATTTTTTTTCAGAAAGGTCGTCAAAATTTATCTTGGTTAATTTAGAAATGATCAGTATAACCCAGTGGTGGTGCAGTTTTCTAGATTTTCTGAGACTCTGCCTCAACTGTGATTCTGAGATAACCGTACGTCCACCCATTCATCCATCCAACCGTCCATTCATCATCTTATTATATCCATCTATCCATCCACAAAAACATCCAATTCATTAATATCCTTTCACTAATCTAATATCAAGCCATCCATAACTTTTATTTATCTATTATCAATCATTCATGCATCGTCTAGCCATTATATATCTTTACTCCATCATCCATCCTTCTAAAATCAGTGATCCATCATCAATATGCTAGTTATCACCCATCTATCCACTTATCCACCTAATTCACCCATACCCCATATGTTGACCAAATCTAGCCATCCATCCATTTATCCACCCATCCATCCATCCATTAGAAGTGTACAGGGGCAGGTACAGGGAGAGTGATGCAGACATGAATTGGATATAGTCTCTACTCACAAGGAACCATCTAAAGAGAAACACATCTTTATACTTGGTGGATTAAGTGTGGTGGGAGTACAGAGAAGGGGAGTGTGCATTGTAGTCCGCAGGGATGCATCACAGAGAAGGCAACATTTGAGGATTGATGCATGGCTATGGCACAGGTCACCATGGAGATACGATAGCAGGACAGACAGTCAGAGAATACAGGGAATACAGCGTGCAGAGCCATGGGAACTATTACCTTCTTTGCTGGGAGGGGGTGAATGTGAGCCCAGAAGTAATCTGAGTTCCTGGATTCTCTGTCTGGACCCTGGGCCCCTGAAGATATTGCTGGTCCCCCAGGTACAGGCCTCTAGCACTGGACTCGGCTCTGTTCCCATGGGCTGAGTGCAAGGTGGCCTTGGGGCTTGGGTCCTGGTTTCTAAGGCTCAAATAAGGTGTCTAATGTAGTCAAAGAATTAAAATACAACTGTTTTCTGATGCCTAGAAAGAGGCAAATTTATTCCATGTGGCATAAGAGGACCCAGCTTATAAGGGGGAACCCAGAGAACCTCAGAGCCATGTTTCCCTTCTGAGATTTTCTGAGATCATGTGGAAGTCTTTCCATGATTATCTGCTCTGCCCTACACACCCCCCACACACGCACACACACACGTGCGCACACACATGCACACGCGCACACATGCAAACACGCACGCACGCACACACATGCACACACATGTGCGCACATGCAAGCAAGCGCACACATGCACACACGCGTGCACACGCATGCACACACGCACACGTGCGCGCGCACACACACACAGCCATAGAGCTACAACCCATAATAGGGGACTCTACCTATTGGTCATTTTCTGCCTACTGGTCAGACTAGTTAGCCATAGTGTTAACATTACAATCAGTGCAATCTTGGTGAGTATACAGCAAAGAAAAGTGTGGGTGTGGGGTGAATTTTAGTGAGCTTGTATGAGACTGGACTTTCTAATGCAAGATGAGAAAACTTTTCAAATTGCCTTAATCAGAAAAAGAAATGTATTGTAACAGAATCTTCAGATAAATGAAAAGTTCAAGAGTACATACATGTCTTCAGGCATGGCTGGACCCAGATACACATATATTATGAAGACTCTGTGCTTAGCCCTCAACTTTTTACCTCCTAGGCTGGCTTCAGTCTCAGGCAGGTTTGTCCCCTGGGGAGGTCAAAGACAACAACAGCACTTAGACATATATCCTATCTGCTTAGGAACCCTCTTTACCAGCAATTTCAGCAAAAGTTTTGTGGTAAACACCATTGGCCTGACATGGGCATGTGCCCATCTGTGAACTAATTTCTTTGGTCAGGAAGAGGGGATACCACAGTCGTGTGTGTGTGTGTGTGTGTGTGTGTGTGTGTGTGTGTGTGTGTGTGTGTGTGTCCTGGGCATATATATGCCTGGGCTCATGGAGTGAGAATGGGGAAGAGGGAGGTCTCCCAAAGGAAAATTGGGGTGCTGCTGCCTGAGGGAACAAGAAGAGGAAATGGACGGAGGGCAGGGCAGGCACAAACAACAAACATCCTCTCCAGAGCTCCCCTCCTCCACCCCACACCTGCAGCCCGTGCTCGTGCCCAGGGGACCCAATCTCCTGCCTACTTCCTCTTGGTCCCGCCAAGGTGGCACCGGGAGGCACAACCTGAGACCTTTGGCACGCACATCACGAAGATCAGCTTTTCTTCCAGAAAGCCTTCTCACACACATCCCTTTGTTTTCACAGAATTTTTTTCGTCTTGATTTATTTGAAGATCCCAAAGAGGTAAGGACCTTTATTTCCTTGATTACAAGTTTTAAATCTTGACAATGTTAAAGTCCAGTTAAGTACGAATAAAAGAGTTCTCCCTTGTAGACTCCTGCTATCTCCCTGTGATTGCTGAGGCCCAGAGAGGGGCAGTAACTTGCCTGGGTAACGCAGCCAGGAGAACCAGCCGTAGGACTGGAACCCGTTCCCATGACTCCCAGTCCAGTGCTCTCAGTCATCAGCTCTGGGTCCCCTGGGCCCAGCCTATTCCCCTTTTTGGTTATATTTCCTGCTTCTAAAAGTGCTCCAGTGGGAGAAGGCTGTACTGGCAACTTGCAGCATGGGGCGGTGGAGGGGCCTGGATGAGGGTTCTTCAGGAGCCTTCACTGAGGGTCGATTAGCTGTGCGAGCTGCACCGTGGGCAGGACTGTCAGGAAGGGAATGAAGAACCTCAGGCTCGAGGACACCACCCGCTCCCAGCCGTGCAGGAAACGCCAACGGCGCCCTCTCCAACTCCTTCCTCTTCTCCTCTCACCTTCCGAAGCATCGGCAGGTTCTGACGACATGACCTCTGCAACATCTCACAATCCTGTCCCCTCTGCTCTCTCCCGGGGGGCAGGAGGGCTTACCTTAGAAGGTATTGCATGGATTAAATGAGATTCACTGAGTCATCATCCAGCAAACATTTAATTAGCACTCACTATGTGCCAGGACTCGATTTTCGAGCTGGGGGACACACCAGGGAAGCAGGCAAAGCAGATACAAGCCCCTGCCCTCTCGGAGTGAGGGGAGATTACAAGAAACAAACACATAAAAAATGGAGCATGATTGATGAGGGTCAGTATTATGGAGGAAAAGAAAGTGGGAAACAGGCACGGAGTTTGCCAGTGGTTTGAATTTACATAGTGGGGGTCAGGGAATGGCTCAATGAGAGGGTGATGTGGGAGCCAAGTTCTGCAGGAGAGAGGAGGAAGCCAGCAGTCGGAGAAACTGGAGGGAGAGTGTTCTAGGCAGAGGGAGCAGCAACCCCAAATCCCTGAGGCCGGAGGAGAGGGCGTGAGGGGAGAGGACGGGCTCGAAGCTGGCAAGGGAACGGGAGCGGGGGTCACTTAAAGGACTTGAATTTCGATACCGAGTGGCATGGGCTGTGTTGGGAGGTTTTCGAACAGAGGAGTCATGAGACCTTCGTTTTTACAAAAGAGCCTCTTTGACTGCG